TCCAAGTATCATGAGTCACCCACAAATTGTTTTAAAAAAACAATAGGAACTCCTGTTGAATGAAATTTATTTGACCGAATGTGAATATTGTGGAATCAAGTTACTTGAATATAAAGAAAGTTTTTAAACCTATCAATCCATCTGAAATGCATTATATGAAAACAAAACTCTTTAATTGAGTACTGCATAGAAACAAATAAATCTTTTTTTTTGCAGAGCTTATAATCTCCCGAGAAGACCCAAAGAATTTATGTCTAATTGAGATTGAAGAGTTGCTTATTTGGAATGAACGGTCTTTAAAGTAATTCAGTGGCATGCCATTTGGAGATGACAGTCAACTTAATAGATATCAAAATAATTTCTTGGTAGAGGAGTTAAACTATGACAATGAAAAGTTGTCATTTGATCTTAGATGATATTTATCTATGATGAATGAATATCAGTGGAATATATCTAATGAAATAATGGAAGTCATGATAGCTGAAAGAGAGAGTTCTTTTTTGTGCATGGTTACGGGGGAACTGGAAAAATATTTCTCTAGAAATCATTATCTGCTTTTCTGAGGTCAAACGGTAATGTTGTTCTGAATGTCACATCCAACTACATTGTAGCATCGATTTTTCCTAGGGGAAGGAGACTCGAGATTTTTAATCCCTTTGGTGCCAACTGAGTGCTCATTGTATGCCATCAAGCAAGGGAGCCCGAAAGCAGACCCAATCCAGCAAGTATAATCATACGGGATTTATCATCTACGATGAATATATTTTCTTTTGAGACGTTGAATTGCCCAATGAGAGATGTAATGAGCATATCTAATAATAACTTCATAAATTAACCATCCGGAGGAAAAACAATTGTACTCAAAGGTGATTTTATCCAAATTTTTTCAGTCTTACTCATAGCTTTTAGAGTGGAAATTGTAGGTGCTACCACCAATTCCTCACAAATGTGGTTGTATTGTAAAATTTATACGTTGACCAAAAATATGAGATTGCATTAATCTACACTCTCTTGCACGGATAGTGACATAGAAGTTTTTTCTGATTGGATAATCAAAGTCGAAGATGGAAAATTTAGACAAGTGATCAATGGAATTGCTGACGTTGAAATCCCGCCTGAATTCTTCATTCTTGAAATAAGTTATCCCCTCGAGAGAACAATGGAATTCACTTATCCGAACCTATTAGAGAACATGAAAAATTATTTTTTAAGGATAGTGGAGTATTATCACTCGCGCTCGAGTTTGTTGAATGGTAAATGAATTTGTCCTATCCCTTATTCTAGGAGGTGAAAAAGAAAACTTAATTTTTGATTCTTGATGCAAAGTTAACAATTGGATAACACTTCCGTTTTTTTTAATAAAATCAAATGTTCCGGGATCCTAAACCACAAAATAATTTTTAAAAATGGGGTACCGATTATGTCATTAAAGAACATTGACCAAATATCTGGATTGTGTAATGGTAGAAGATTAATCGTTGAGAAGTTGAGAAAGAACATTATCACTGCAATTGACGTTTTGGGAAATCAGTTGGGAAAAAGATTTGTATACCCCGAATGAATTTGGTGTCATTTGACTCAGGACTACCCTTGAAATTCTAGAGAAGACAATTCTTAATATTATTATATTTTGTTATCACTATTAACAAAAGTCTAGGTCAAACATTGTCTTTTGTTGTATTATTTTTAACCAATTCAGTATTTACTCATGGTTAGCTTTATGTTACTTTTTCACGAGTGAAGGCAAAGACATAATAAAAAATATTGGTTCTAGATGATAATGGAAATCCTTACAACCATACCAAAAATGTTGTGTACCCTAAAGTCTTTCAAAAAATTTGGAATTAAAAAAAATTTTTTTAGTACACTTCCAGTTCCTCAAATTTTATTTATTCTACTTTGTCGTTGTTCATTGATTAAAAATCGTGTTAGAAATATATTTTATTTGATTCCGGAAAATATATTACATTGAAAAAAAATTAGAATCGACAAAAATTTTGTTCGACTCCGTGCGTCGCACGGGTAAAAATACTAGTTTTCCAAAATTGAAGACTATTTATGGAATATCTAAATATCATAGACTAAATATGGGAAACCACTCATGACTGGATACCATTTATGGAATTTACTCTAATTTCAACCAGTAAAACATGATACTTCGGTATTTACATATGGTGGATATTTTACTCGTATAAAACTATACTTTGTATCATTCTCCGCCAACCATTCTCATTTATTCCTAATCAAATCATGATTTATATCTCTCCAAATAACTTCAATATAAATTTCAAAATATATACTCCATCTTTCACCAAAACACTTTTCTTTAATTTTGTTCTCTTCTACCAAAATACTTTCACTTTTTATTAAAAGTTCACTTTTAGCCTTACTCTTTCTTATCCTACATATCACATCATATGTTTTCTCCAATAATCTATTCATCACATCTTACTTTTAGCATCACATCAAGAGCAAAAAAAATGGGCCCAAACTTTTACTACCATCCATTGTTTTTAGGGGTGGGCACGGGCCGGTCCGGGTCAAGATTTTTATAAACTGGACTCGGCTTGTTTTTATTTAAAAGGCCCGGGCCGGAACGGGTTTTCAAAATTTTAAAATTGAAATCGGACCTAACCCGACTTGTTCGAAACGGGCTGATTCCACAGGTCAACGGGTCCGAAACTTTCGTAATACTAATATTACAAATATAAAGAAGTGCAAATAATTTAATAATACATACATGGTCATTCACCATTAGTCCATAACAATATACTACCCACCACCATCAGTTTTAACTTTTAAGTCATCAAACAAAAAAAATAGTCTGAACAATGATAAAGAGGAACTGAGTACGGCAAACCCCCATGCCAACAAAAAAGGAAAGAGTACAATCCCATTTTGGCAAATGTCATATGGTTCCAAAAAGAACAATCAGGCAGGGCAGTACGCAGATGGCTTCCAAAAAAACTAAAAATCCTGCAAAAACAAAATTTTAAAATCAAACATATTCCACACACAAACATGCACAAATGGTTAAAGAAGTTTAATATTAACCTACATCCTTCACATGGAATTAGGTCTTGATTATTTCATCTTTACTCTGCACAAAAAATATAATTATATGATTAAATTAGTCTCTAATAATGTATGAAAGACTAAAAGTTTATAAACTATTGTTAGTCAAATGTGTAAGGATTATGTCTCAATGCTACTGTCCATTTAACTAATCTATTAGCAATAGGTAAATTTATGGGCATTAAAATTTATCATTATCAGGGGTTCTCTGCAAACATATCTACAAACATATTTGAAGAAGTAGTAATTGTCAATAGCACTAATGTAAAAAACAAGACTAATTGCAAATGGCACTCATTGGAGAAGTGGTGAAATTGGCGATGATGATAAATACAGTGGTTGTGTAAAATTAAAAACTGAAAATGAAGAGGTGAATATTTCAATTAGGAGATGAGCTGTGAAGACCTACCACGGGACAAGATTCACCGGAGAAGGCGATTTAAGGTGACCAGTGGTGTCCGGACAGCTGAACAAACATGGGGATTAGCGCAGAGCGCTTCTCTGCGATCTCTGTGCTTGGTCGACGCAGCGCTTCAGAAGCTCGATCTCATCGTCTATGCCTGGAAGCTCTGTCTCTCCGTCTCATCGTCTGTGCTCGTCCGTCTCTCTGCATGTGCTCCAATTCACAGATTAGCCGCTACAAAGGGTTCTGAAGGTCTGGCTTCTGGGAAAGAACGAAAGGATTGGGAGTTGGGAGGTTGGGTAGGGCTTTGGCCCAAGTAAATGAGTAATACGGATAATAATAATATGGAGTATTAACTAACGGGCCGGTCCGGGTCCTGAAGAATTTTAAAATTGAGAATCACACCGGTCCAAAAACCTATAAGGCCCGGCCCGGACCGGTCCGTTATAATTTTTTAAAAAATGGACCCGCCCCTAACCTGGACCGAACCTGTCGGTTCGGTTCCGACTCACGGTTCCTGGACTCGTTTGTCCACCCCTAGTTGTTTTTGTTAAAAAAAATACAAAATTTCATATTGATTTTCAACGATTAGCAACCATAATGTCAAAATTCACATTCAAATTAAACATGTATTTTTAGTGCTAGAAGAGTCAAAGATGCCGCTTCAAATGTAAAGTATGAGGATAAGATCAACATTTAATTGGTTCAATAAACAAATCAACATCTTAATCAATTAAATAATATTCCTCATTTGTTTCATTGCTTGGATATACCCCGGAGTAGTTCTACTTTTATTCGGCCTAGGGCCCATAAAATGTCAAACACGACACTAAAATTTCTTCATAATTTCAAAATTCATTAAACAATCCCAAAATTCATCAAACAAGATTAAATGCATGACCTTGAGACTTTTAAAGCATTTAAAAATTAATTAAACTAAAAACTAACATCCAAATTAAATTGTATATTAGATGGGTACAACAGTGGCTTTTTCAAAACCCAATGGGGACAAGTGGGGGATTAGTCACGGAGGCTGTTATGGAGTTTTTTCACGCTAATAAAACTTTGAAACAAGTGAATGCTTCTAGCATTACTGTCATACCTAAGAAGGATAACCCTAAATACCCAGCAGATTAGAGACTTATTGCATGCTGCAATGTGGTGTATAAGGTCATCTCTAAAATCCTGAGCAGCAGACTGGAAAAAGATACTGCCTGGGATCATTGACTGGAACCAGGGGGCTTTTGTCAAGGGGAGAGAATTACTCCATAATGTGTTAATGTGCCAAGAGTTAACGAGGGGTTACAATAGAAAGAACATTTCTCCAAGATGTTTATTAAAGCTTGACATTCAAAAAGCATATGATTCTATTAGTTGGCAAGCAGTTGAGCAGATTATGGTTAAGATGAACTTCCCTGATAAGTTCATGAAATGGGTTTTATTCTGCATTACAACACCAAGTTATACACTGATGGTCAATGGAGAGAATCATGGTTTTTTTCAGGGGGAGAAAGGACTGAGGCAGGGAGACCCACTATCCCCTCTTCTCTTTACTTTGGTCATGGAATATCTTACCAGGCTACTCCATCACCAA